GTCTACAATAAATTGTTGAAACAGAAGATCGGATCTGTTCAGAAAGAATGATTCTAGTGGTGTATATCCACGAATTTGCAAACAATATATATAGTACTGCATCATCATCATATATTTTGAACTTTCTTCTTCACCATAGTCTTCAGAATTACTCAAATCTGCAGCACTGTTGTTTTGAGATTCGTTTAATATATTACGTATAGGGATAGCCAGATGCTATCCAGGCTTACCATGTAAAAAAAATAGCACATAATACAATGCAAAATAAGACGAATGGATCTGAGAAATTCGTTGCAAACCTCCTCCTTGTTTATGAAGAATTATATTGCGGTCTAAAGATTCAGGATCATCACCATTACCAACTATAAACACTGCAACTTCTGAAAAGATAGGAATGGCATATTGTCAGTTATCACGTGCCTTAATTATTGCCATTTTTAGTTCTTGTACAGGATTTTTACATAACAATTGTGCTGCTTGTCGGAAAACATTAATATATGGATTTACATCATGAAGCATTGATTGAAGTTTGGCTAGTACAGAAGAATCTAAATCTGGTATAATATACTGCATATGTAGCTGCTGTTCTTCAGTATTATACAAATAAATTTGACAAAACTTTGTCTTAGTAGCATCTTCTGGTAAAAGCGACCTGATTCGGTGATACATTTCTTCATGAATTCAAAAAGAGTATATCCCACTACTTCCAGTAACTTGATCATTGATGTTTGCACCCATTGAAATAAACACAAGAACTGAATTATACATACAGATTTTTTGCCAAAAATTGTGTGCGTGCATAGTATTTTCGGTGAACAAAAACTGCAGAATAGGAGATGTTGGTGCTACTGGTTGCAAATGCACCTTATCCTTTGCACAACATGTACTAAAGACTGGTTTTTTTAATGTTCCAGAAACCTTTTCATCTTTCCAGTGCAAAGCGCTACAGTATATGCACTCAATATTCATATAACCAAATCATGCACATTAACAGTAGTGCTATCATATTGTTTCATATGGGCCATATTGGAAGCATGGTGGTTTACTTTTAGATGCTTTGCTCTTCTGTTTTCTGCACTTTCTGTAGTTTCAGATGTTAGTCGTTATGCATAGTTAGCTTGATTTTGTGTGTGTTAGTGTAAGATTTGCTATTTGCTAAGAGTTGTTTTACGGCATGTATATGCCTCTTTTTCAAGCTGGTTTTTGCGTTCACATGTACTTTCAGAATTCTCAATTATTGGAGAGTTGATTTCATAGGCTATTTTTCTAGCATAACTTTCTCTAGCTAGACGATTATGACATTCTCTTGCCATTTCAAATGTTTTTAAAGTAGAGTTATTTGGTTCAAAGTTCATTTGTTCGACAAACACATTATTAGCTATTTCTCTTTCTGTTAACTCAAAAAACATATTATCAGTTGGTTCCTTTTTGGTTAACTCAAACGACATATTATTAGTAAAGTCAAGTGACATAGTGGTAAAATTTATTTCATTCATTTCAAAAGCCATATTTACGAATTAGAAAAGTTTAATGTAGTTAAAAAAAAAAGAATATAACGAAAAGAAAAAAAAAGATAGAAAAAAATTGCAAAATAAAGGTGTGAAAGAGAGTAAGAGAAAGATTACACATGAGCAA